CTCTAACTGTAGTGGCCATGTTCAAGGCTCAATGTGTGTTGTGGTCACTGGCTGCATGACTCTTTCCACTCCTGCCTCCACACTGTGGCTGCTGTTAACAGTATACCAGTGTTCATGTTAACAGTGACATCAAGGATCTTTCCTTTCCATTTCTTTCTTTCTTTATTTTTAAGATGGAACTTTTGATGGCTTTTTCTTGATTACTAAAGCAAAACATTGAAGGCATAGGTAGGAGGATCATAGTCCAAGGCCAGCTCCTGGCAAAAATGTGAGACCCTCTCTAAAAAACAACTAACGCAAAAAGGATTGGGGGTGTGTGGCTCAGGTGATAGAGTGTTTGCCTAACAAGCACAAAGCTCTGAGTTCAAAATGCAACACTGCCAAAAGAAGAAAAGATGGAAGGAAGGAAAGAAGGAAGAACATGCTTATTACACAAAAATCTGACATTATGAAATATACAGTAGGTAAAAAATGTGCAGCCTCTCTTCCTCCATCCCCAGACTGCTACTGTCAACAATTTTCTCCATTCTGCTAGAAATTCCTTGTTCTGCCTTTTGTCTTCCAGAATTCCTGCTGAATTTTAAAAAGAAAACCCAAGTATCGCCTTGGTGAAACTGCCCTGACCCCACCAAGCCATGCTGGCCCCTCCCCTTATCAGGTGCCCAAAGTAATTTGTATATACTACAGTTGACTACTTATAACAGTTTCATTGCAATTTTTTAATTAAATGTCTCTCCCACTTCAAGGATATCTCCTTCCTCTTTGGTGTAAGGCATCTGGTGCACAACATGCAGTAAACATCAAATACCTGTTGAGTGAATGAGTGAAGGAGTACATAAATAAAATATTTTTCTAAAACAAAGACCTTAAAGCTCTATAATAATCACCATCAGGATACTCACATTTAAATTTCTCTAGAAAGATGTTTCTTATATATTCCACATTTTAACAACCAGGTAATACATTCATCCTAAATTCTTTAGGCTTGGAAACTCAAAATTCTAACCTCACAGAAAATGATAAGGTTGGAGGAATTTTGGAATGGATTGCAGTTTATTTTTCAAGTGCCAAATGAACATTTTGAAGTATAGCATTTTTGGCCACAGTCTTTGTCCACTGACACCAGAACATTCCAGGAAATGACATTTCAAATAAACAGTTTCACATCCAGTAAACCACAAACAGAAAAGAATTCAACAGCACTTCACAGCAAATGGCTTTGTGTTGACAGTTACTTGGGAATGAGCAATTATATTTACAAAGCACAAATATCTCATTAGATTAATTGAATATAATTTAAACCGATGGCTTGGGCAAAACAGTGAATCTATAAGAGTTGTGAAAGAGGACAAAGGAGAAGATACCAGAAGACTAAATCTTAGAAAAAGATTCCCAAATATCAGAGTGCCCCACTGGACCAACACTTCAAATTAAGCCACTGAGGGATTCTGACATGCATGCTGCATGACATCTCATCCAAGGAAGACCATCCAAGAGAAGTCTCATTTTTCTTAGAAAAAGATTTCCACAGAGCTTTCATATTTTACCAATTTAACAGTTTGGGCTTAATGTAATTAAGTAATAAATATAGTGAACACATTTATCAAGCCCTTATTTCTCTCTCTCTCTGTCTCCCTCCACATTTATATAACTCTATCTTTGTCTATCTCCACTCTGTCTTTTTATTTTTTTGGCGGTACTGGGGACTGAACCCAGGTCCTTACTCCTATGCTAAGCCTGTACTCTATCACTAAAGTACACTCTTAGCCACTAGGATGAGATTTCTTGTTCATTAATTCTCATCCAGAATTTTTATGTCACATGTTGAACTCAACTCCTCATTTTAACATACATAGGCAATTCTACAAGTAGAAATCCACAATCAATTTTAAAATTAAAGGATAAGACAGAGTGGGCACAATTACAGAAAGTGAAGTGCAGAATAGATCCTAGACATCTATTCCAATGCTGAATAAACTCTCAACATAAACAGAACATAGATGCAGGAAGTGATCAGGAGAAATTTAAGACTCCAGAAAATTTAGCATAAAAATGGAAAAAAGTGACAGGTCCTTGGTTTTCCATAATACAGGAGATGGAGGCTTATGTGGTTAAAAAAAAAAAAAAGAAGGATATTTTAAGGATACCTTAGCAGCTGGTCCTAGAGTTGCATTAATGTAACTAATAGATTAAGTTAGAAGGCAAAGTAATCATTAATGGTAAAAATGATTAGAGATTAAAAAAAAACAGCATCTTCTTTTAAATAAGAAATATTCTTTCAGTCATGCTTACTAAATTATAAAAATTAACATTTATTGAGAACTTGGGTGGGGTCACACCTTATTCTAACCATATTAGGTAAACAATTGATTTGATTTTCAAAGCACCCCAGAAAACTACTATCCTTACTTCGTAGATAGGCAAATCGAGGCACAAAGGGACAAAGTAATTTTCCCAAGGCCACACAACTAAGAATTTATAGAGCTGAGACTTAAACCCTGTCAGTTTAGCCCCAGAGTCCTGGTGTTTTGTTTTGTTTTTTCAACAGTGTTCTGTGCTGCCTGATAATGCTTACTCAAAAGAAATGTTAGTCTTTATTTTAAAGGTTTACTCATATGTTTACTTAGGTTTTCAAAAATCTTTCAGAGATTTAAGTCGTGAGTTGAAAAGACTGTTCCCTTGCTATCAAAAGGAACTGAATTCATGTGGTTCAGAGCTCACCTGTGCGTGGTGTTGACATTATCTGTGCAATTGAAGTGAACTCAATTAACAGTGATTTAGGGTCCAAGGCCGAGGATCACAACATGGTGATTCAAAGTTAAGAGGAAACACATTTTTGCTTCAAACTAGTGCAAATAGAATATGCTAGAAGCTTATGGTTGACTAGAGATGAGAAAAACAAAGTCCAGAGTGTTCAAATGGCTTGCCTGAGGCTCTAAGAGTGGTTTGTAGCACAGAGTGACTTAAAATCCAACTCAGATGGGTCGAGTTTCTCTTTACTCCACTGGTCTATAATCACACTGGTTAAATTAAACACATTGAAATAAAAATTAATTTCCAGAATAAATATCTGTGCTATTCTATAAAGAAGGAAAATGTGTAGCTCCTGCCTATATTACTCTAGAACCAGTTTTATTCCAGCATGATTTGAGGGAAGAAAGAAGATATCACCAAGGAAATATTCCTAAGGTAGGACAAGAAGAAAAAATTCACATAGAATCTCCCATATTGTCTCTGAATGAATGTGTTTTGGTTGTATTTGCTGAGCAACTCCTGCCTCGAATCTTACCCATTTCTAAAAGTAGACAATGAGACCGCTGTATGTCTACATTAACAACTATGCAGGTAGACATATGTGTATGTCTCCCACTCTATCCGAATGGCCTTTTTTGTTTGTGGTACTGGGGGTTAAAACCTAGGATCTCTCACTTGCTAGGCAAGCATGCTACCACTTGAGCCATGCCCTCAGTACTTCTGTTTTTTATATTTTGTTTATAAGACAGGGTCTCACTAGCTTTGTCCAGGCTGGCCTCAAACTTGAGATCCACCTGCCTCCACTTCCTGAGTAACTGAGATTACACGTATGTACCACCATGCCCAGCCTCCAAGAGTCTTTAGAACAGAGGTCATACTCTTAACCTCTTTGTGTGCCCGACTTTTACAAACGCTTCATAAAAAGCATAGTAGGTGCTCATAATGAATCTTTTCTGTCATGTTTGGTAATGATGATGAAAATGTAAGTATATATAATGTAAGATCTCCAATTGGTTTTAAGAAATGGCCCTATTCTCAGCTTACCTAGAGATTTTTTTTACTAATTTATTTCAGTGCTTCTCATACTAGGGTATTTGCCTCCCCTCTTTATACCAAGGATATTTGGCAGTGCTAGAGACATTTTGGCTGTCACAATTTCAGTGGGGTAGGTGCCACTAGCAACTGATGTGTAGAGGCCAGGGGTGCTGTGAAATATCCTACCATGCATGGGAAAAAGAATGATCTGATCCAGAATGTCAGTAGTGCCAACATTGGCCTATTTAGAAGTTAATAAATATACAACCACTTTTCCATTTACATTTTAAAACACAAGTAAGATATAAATGAAAATAGTATACTGAAGATTTGCCCTAAACAGACCATTTCAGCAATTTACTGTTAAGAAGATGAACAATTTTTAATGGGCCTATGTACAAGAGTAAAAGGATTCACTAAAGTGGGAGGAAAAGCATGAATTTAAACATTGTGTGCTTAAATAAGCAATGGAATGATCTGATCTTTATCTGAAACTGAGTTTATTCCAGTTATGGCACAGGAAACTCTACTGACAAAGCACTTCCCAACCACCACTGGTCTAGTCCAGATGCGGAACTCTCTACTCAGACTATTTCATTGTTTTTAACCACACTCAAAATCCACTTTTCTGATCATCACACAAAGAGGAACTGTACATATTTTGTTTGCAAATGTAGTCATCAAAGCAAACTGCTTTTGCTATTAGCCATTCCTTACTTATGCTTGTCTATCCTACCCATGGGTAGGTTTACCAGAAGGTCCAATGTCTCAGTCTGGATTTCTGTGGGGGATTCAGGAATCATTCTTTCACTCCCAAGTCCCTCTCTGATTTCTGTCATGGAAAGATGACCAGTTTTTTCCAGTGTCCTAACAGCTTGATGATATCTTAAGGAAAATGAGGAAAAGGAAGTAGGGAAGCTTCTGATTTTTCTTTGCATTTGGTCATGGTTTCTTTATATAGTCTCTAGCTGATGTGGCATTTTATTTGCTTGTTCATTTTCCCCAGTGACTACTAATAATACTTGACACTTTGTCTGAAGTACATTTAAATAAAAATTTCTTTAAGGGGATAAGGTATTTCTTTTTTGGGAATCAACTGAAAAAAACTGTATAGCCCTCAGGAGGATCTCTGAGCATTCCACAGCAACTAATTTGTTATGAATTTTGTGTATTGAGTTAAACATGTTACCATTGAAAGCCTCACACCTTGGTTAATGATTTTTTAAATATTTACCAAGATCTTTAATAAGCGAGAGTGCTTCCCACGATACGAAGGCTCCACCACCGTCATCCATGGCACCCTGCCCAACATCCCAGCTGTCCAGATGTCCACTGACCAGCACGACCTAGAGAAAATAATAAAAAGAGAAAAACTGAGCAAAAACAACAAAGAGGAGGAATTCACTGGTATTTCAAACACAAAAATGAAATTTTTATATTTTACTTTCTATTTTTATGACCTAGACAATAGACATATGCATTACTAGTGAAAAACTTGGTATAGTGGCCTTACATAAAAATCTAAGGTCATTCTAATAGTAATGAAAATCTTTACCTTATACCTCCCTACCTCCCTTTATTAACATAACTTGAGTGCTAAATAAAGTGATTTATTACCAATAGGTTTTTGATAACTTTATTACATGGCTTAAAACCAAAATGATGCTAAAATGAAGCTCAAAACTTCAATCATATTCTCATCTGTTCCCAATTCTAGAAGACACATAATAAACGTGTCAAACTGAATTCAAATAAAAAAATGGGAAAAAAATGGGGACAATATTTTTAAAAATGATTTCATATTGTACATTATAAATTACTTTGCTATTGAATAAATAGCAACTAGACTTAAAACCTAGACAGAATTTTTAAGAGAGATTTCAATTTATGTTAGGGTTAAATAAACCTACTTTATGTTATAAATTTTAAATCACCGTAAGTTTAAAATCTGTAGGAAACTATAAAGGATCTTCACTGGTACTATATTATTTTTCAGCGTTGGGGATCAGATTTGGGGCCTTATGAATTGGAGCAACACCCTCAGACCTTCACTGCAACTATATTTTATGGAATATTTCAACAGGATAAAATCCAAGTAAGATGGTGTTAGATCGATAGGATATTGATATGAGAAAATTATGTTTTGATCTCTGTACATTGTGTAGTATACAAATATTGAGTCAAGTAGATTATATAGCCAAATAAAGACTTTAGGGAAAAAAAGCACTGTCAACTTGGAGTAAGCAAGCTCTCCCTAAGTAGACAAAGAAACACAAACTGTAAAAGAAAAAAACAGACTTTTTAAAAATTAGGACTGTCATCAAAGGACACTATGAAGAGATTGTCAAGGCAACTCAAAGTAGGGGGTATTCTCCATACCTATATACAATAAAGGACTCATGTCTAGGTTCTATAAAGAATTTCTGTGAAACAGTAGCAGGAGAAAATCGAAATGGGCAAAAGACATGAGTACATAACTCACACAAAAAGATATACAAATTATTAATATCATATAAAAATGTATTCAGTGAAATATAAACTAAACCGCAGTCAATACATAGCCACCAAATAGCTAAAATGAGAAAGACAGAAAACACCAAATACTGGCGAGGCATGGAACAGTTGAAACTCCTTCACAAGCTGCTGTGAGTATAGGTAGATACCAGCACTCAGGAAAACCATCTTGTCTATTAATTGTGATCACACAGCCAAAGACCCAGCAATCCTACTCCTGGCTATGTGGTGAGGGTGAGCGTGTGTGCACATGTGTGAATGTGTGTACTCTGATGCACTAGAATGTTCATTAACAGAGTATTCACAATATTCGCCCCCCCAGAAGGAAACATCAAGTGCCTGTTAAACAGTAGAATAAATAAACTGTGTTCGTGAATGGAACAATGCACAATGGTAAGGATGAACAAACACAGTACACAGGTAAATTTGGATATATCTCACAAGCATAATGAAGAATGAAAAAGGCCAGATAGCAAATAATACACTGTGTCTAATCCCATTTATATGAAGCATAAACCCCAGAAAAGCAGGGAACAAGGTCCTTTAGGAAAGAGGGTGAATGTCAGGAAGGGGGTACGAGGAGAGCTGGGTTGCAGTGATGCTGTGTCTCACTGCGGGTGCTGATTAGCAGGCATGCTCAGGTGTAAAAGTCCATTTTACTACACACTTAGCATCCATGCACGTTCTCTGAGAATATTACACTTCAATAAAACATTTTTAAAAGTTCAACAGATTGATATCTGTGTGCAGCACATAGTAAGCAGCTCAAAGTTGAATCAGTCTTCTTGATGGTTAAAATAAAAATCCCCCATTATTTTGTGAGAGCACAGGTGGTGGCCTAAAATATCAGGGTGACCTTTTGCACTGCCTGCTTCTCCAAGCAGCTGTAGGATCTCCCATTGACTTCAATGCAGACCCATCCTAAGATGACTTCACTGTAGTCACAAACAAGGATAGCGCCCCAGACTAACAAATGGCCATGTAATGAACCCAAACGGATTGTTACTAAGGGGGAAGAAAAACAAAACAAAGAATAAAGGGGGAAAAAACATGTTGCAATAGCGGGATCTTCTGATTTACAAAATGGTGTAATCCCAAGTGAGACCAAGAGTGGTGGTAATGATTTACCACCCTCAGAACCATTTTCTCAAAAAGTGTCAAAATGTGTTTTAATGACTCTTCTCTCAGATCATGCATATGAGTGGCTAAATCCAGGCAGCCATTGTTTTATCCTTCAGACTTCCTTCATGATATTTGAGGTTGTTTTATGATCAGACTTCTTTAAGTTTTCTTAAATGCCTCCATTCTCCAGTTCAGAATTATTACTTACACTAGTGTTAAGAGGTGGGAAAGATGGTTTTGAATGGTAGGAAGCTAAATGATATCCCATGGGCTGAGGTCTTTGGAGAGTGCTATAGACAAGTCATAATATATCATTTTTGTGAAAGTTTTGAAAAATATTGGAGACCACAATTAAATAGTTGTAACTTCAATATCTATTTTTAAAAAACTATGCACTGACCCAAAACACTACTTCTAATTTAGTAGCATTTTAAGTGAACCTGAATTTTCCTAATTATAAAATTGCCTACAGTACAATTAATATTTGCTAATAAAGAAGAAAAATAATAGGAAAAAAACTCTCTATACACTCAGAAAATAATAGTACAGAAGGTTTCATCCAAAATGAAATGGTATCTTGCCAGCAGTTCTTAATGCAGCCTCACAAAAGACAACTCACATGGCTGCAGAAGAGCTGCCTTGGGCCAGGGTCAGGCATAAATGAACATTAATTATAATAAGGTTGGATCTGATTAAAACAAACAAAACAAAAACAGACTACCCAGAGCCATAGTAAATTCACGTTCTATGAAAAATAATCACCTAGTAAAAGGAAAACACACAGTCCCTTCATCGCTTCTGCTGCCAGATATGCATCCCCTAGAGCAAAAACATGGCGGAGAGCCAACAGAGACAGATGTGGGCACCTGCTCGTCTACCCCCCTCATGTATTGCTCCCTGAGGCTGGCAGAGCACTGACCAATTCCTTTTCCCCCTAGCTGCCTTTCCATCACCATTTCTTCTAAGGGCAGTAAAGAGTAAAAATTATTGAAAATAACAGCAACAGCAATAGTAGCCAAAGACAGAGTAGAACTCCTGCACTCTGAAACAGGGGGTTTCTTCTTTGTGAGGCACAGATTAGTGCTGACTACCAGAGACTCTGGCCTGGGTCGTCAGTGAGGAACCTAGCACAGCAGGGCAGACATGACTGGACACATAGCTTCCAGGGTGAGGAAACAGACTGACAACAACACAACCACCTTAAGGCCAGCTGTGGGTCTGTAAGAAGAGACAGACACAATTTGGGGATGGGGGATGCAGCCCCCAAACAAGACCCAGGCTTCTCTGTTTCTGGTGCATACCAATACACTTAGTCCAAATGGATTCACCTGATTAAAAGATGAATAAGAACATGAACAAAAAAATGGCAGAAACAAAAAAGAGAGAACAGCTTCAGAGGCAGTGTTTTCTTGGGAAAACAAACTAATGCAAGATACCAGAGAAAATGTTGTGATCTTTGGCCTTTATGTATGATTTCCTTCAATAATTTTATTAAGTTCTCACTATGTGCTAGAGATTCAGAAATGCACCCCCAAAAGCAGATATTCTGCCTTAATGAAAGTACATTCTAGTATGGGAGATGAAAAACAAGTAAATGAACACAACAGGAGGGTAGTTTCAAGTGCTATAAAGAAAAATAAAGCTGGATATGGTAGCTCAACATCTGGGAGGCTGAGGCAGGAGGATCACGAGTTCCAAACCAGCTTGGGCTACATAGTGAGCTTGAAGCTGGCTTGAGCTACATTCTGTCTCATCAAAAAAACAAAAAGGCAGAGAAAGAGAACATAGGATAGTGGCAAGGGATGGATGGAGAATGAAGCTATTTTAGGTACAGTTGTCTGTGAGGATCTGTCCCTAAGGAGATGACATTTGAATAAAGACCTGCATGAAAACAGAAAGCGAGCCATGCACAATCCATAGAAAGAACATTCTCGAAGGCATGAGAACACATGGAACAGTGTGGGAGAGAACAAGTGTGATGTGAGTGAAGGCTGGTGATAGCGCTGGGGTAAACTATTGCAGGGGCCAAGGTAGGGGAGAGAGAGGCTGGAGAGACTCTGGAGGCTGCAAAGCAAGTAGAAATGTGGAGGCTACAGTAGGGAACTCATGCTTCATTCTGACTGTGATGAGAAGCTATGAGGGAACCACAAGATCCTGCATATGTGTCAAAATTGCTGCTGTTAGGGAGAGGGAGTGAAGAATGAAGAGAAAGCCTTACTCGCTGAAACTAAGTCATCGAAAATCAATTTATGAGGGAAAATCAATTGGCTTCCTTTCAAAGTGTAGACAGTCACAAGAGAATATTTTCCCACTCTGCCAATGAGGGAACGTTTGACATTCTAAAAACGATCACTTTTTAAAAAGCACTTGAGAGATCAGACATAATAATTCAACCACAGGAACTGAATTCTAGGGGGTGACGAACTCCTCCAAGGAGAGATGGGACACAAAACCTGTTTGGTGTTTGACAGTGACCAGAGGGAAAGATGGCAAAAATAGGATGGAAGGAAACAACGAAAATGCTAACAAATCCTTGAAGGGCAAATGTGTAAGGATGAGAATTTAGAATCTCTGGAAACTCCCACAAAAGGACATGAGGTACCCATTTTCCAATACCAGGCCTTGACTGTGTGTCGCCAAGAAAAACTGCAAATGGGGAAAAGTCCCAAGAGAACCAGCCTCAGGGCTATCTGGGACAGACAGGGCCATC